TGACTTCACATGATTTCAATCACATGATATAATCCGGATCGAATCCTATATCACATGATACTACCTGGCTTTAACGGTCCCCCTGCATGCGTAATTACAGATTAATCAGATCTCGAAATATAATATTTACTTCATTTACTGCATATATACAATAACTTGCAATGTCTATCAAACTTTTCTGCCTTGTTAAAGAAAACTCAGCAACGCACGTCTTTTCCGTCAAGGCCAGCAAGAATGATACTATTGATGATCTCAAGGAAGCTATCAAGGAGAAGAAGCCCAATGAGTTTACTGATGTTGATGTAGACAAGCTCAGGCTGTGGAAAGTGGAAATACCTGATGATAGAGAAGATTTGTTGAACGCTCTTTCGCTCAAAGATGAAGACGAACTTTGTGCAACGAGAAAGATTACAAAATATTTTCTCGACCCGCCTGCCGAGGAGCATATCCATGTAATAATCGAGCAACCTGTTGCCATCGGTATGTAAATTTTAGTCAACGTGAGATGTTTCGTTCTCGTTTGAGTTGCGCCATATTTAATATTATTTTTTCAATACATAGTGCCCCATAGCAAACGAAAAAAAATTGAAACCGATAATGAAGAACTGAGAATGCTTTGGAATGCTTTGAAAAAGGGGAAAGTTAATGAGATTGAGAGTGGCCAGTTCCTTCTATTTTTTGATGATGTTTCCTATCTTACAGGCGATAATGAGCAAGGTTCCAAAATATCCACTCTGTTCATCCGTGAATGTTATCTCCATCTGTTTAAGATTATCTTTGAAAATATTAATGTCCGTCGTTGGCGTATTACTGGAAATCCAGGGATTGGGAAAATCTTCTTCAGTTATTACCTGCTTTGTCAACTTGCACAACAAAATAAAATGGTTGTATATCACAGATATAATAAGCCCCCGATTCTCTTTAGCGAGGAAAACATTTTTAGCAGTTCCAAAGACAATATTCATGAATTCAGAGGTTACCTGAAAAATAGAGATGTTTGGTATATAGTTGATGGCAGGGAGCCAATGGAATATGTCGCCAAGACAATTCTAATCTGTTCGCCTCAAAAGTGTTACTATAGTACGTTTGATAAGCTTGGGACAACTATTCGATACATGCCAGTGTGGTCTTGGGAAGAGACTGATACGTGCAGGAAAGTGCTTTTCCGTGATCTTACTCAAAAGAAGATTAAGGAATTACACAATAAATGGGGTGGAATTCCTCGCTTACCTTGTTTTATGCTCTCAATATTTCTCAGCAAGAACTCCTTCAGAAGGCAATTAACTCAGTTAATGATAAGATATTAAATTTTGTTGGCGAAACCACAGAGGACAATAGCACCAGTCACAAAATTGTTCATATCCGTACGAACGTGCCACAAGTAGGCGAGAAAGGAAAGGGAGTAGAGGAAGTAGAGGAAATAAGTGAAGTAGAAGAGAATACTGGGAAATCTTCCTCTCCTGCAGTAACTAAGCCAGACAAAGATAATGAAGAGGTACCCTTCTATACATTGTCAAATTTAGATTTTGCATCCGATTATGTTTATGAAAAGGTAATGGATGTACTCCTAACGAATTACAAAGAACAGTTGCAGACTTTTGTGCAAGCTAGCAAATCAATAAGTGATTATGGCACACTTCGGGGTACTATATTTGAGCGGATCACCCATGGAAAGTTATTAAATGGAGGGACATTCAAGGTTCGTCCTTTATTTGGAAAGACTACCTCTTGCTTCGGGATAAGTAATAGTAATCGCAAACTAACAATACCTCCTCGGAAAAAATTGTTGTTCAGCAAACCTGATGAGGTTATACAAAACCGATACTGTCTGTATACCAACTCAAAAAAATAACGCATCTTTCGATGCATTTGTTTCTCCCGACACATTCTTCCAAATGACTATTGCTGATAATCATCCTATCATCAGGATTGGCTTGGAAAAATATATTAAGGACGACAATTCAGATATCAATTTTTATTTTGTCTTACCAACGGATTTGTATAACGATTACAAACTGCAGGCTCTTCATACCACAAACAGGACTGTTCTCAAGAATAAACCGCCTTGGTTTAATTGCTTCAAACAATATGCTCTGGAACTTGATCCAAAGTTAGTTTGTATTAAAAAAGATAAATAGTTATCAGTTATATTCTCGCATGAGATCATGATAATGATTCTTCTATATTTTCATTTTATCTTCAAATAATATATGCTCTTTTTAATAGTATTTTTAATAATAGTGAGAAGGAAATGATAGCCAGAATTAAAACATTTTCAGCATCATCTATTTTGAAATTGAGTTTGGAAGATATTGAATATGTAATAGCCAAGATAATTCGTTTTAATCAATAGTGTTTCATTATCACGTTTATGTAAAAATAGAGTTATAATTATAAAATTTGTGAATGTTGAAGTCCATATTTTATTTCAATAAAATTTGCGCTTTTTTCTTGTTTCGTTATTTCGGTTTAGCCAAATAAATTTTACTTGTGTTAATGGAAAGTTCTAATATATACAAATTTCAGGTTTTATATTATTAGATGAATTTACCTTAGTTTCGCTAAAATTTGTGATATTTTCTGGTATCTTCATTCCTTTTTATTCCTTCACGATAAAGGTGTATATCTCTCTCCAAGTCAGCACGGAAGCATCCCATGGTCCATCTTTTTTTCTCAGCCTCAGTAATGACCGAAAATTTCTCGGGATCCATTCCATATTCGATGACATATTGGCATAAACTAGCCTCTGGTTGATAAATTTTATTTGGATTAGTCCCAGAAATTGGTAATTGAGTTTCCGGTGAACTCTGTATGGCAATTATAACTTTCTTTTGATCGATACGAAAAGAGCAATTAAGAAAATAGTGATCATTTATACCTAGACAGCTCCAGTCACCCCACATACCTAAATGTGTGTGTACTTCATCGCATATCAAACATTTAGCTTCTGAATTGATATATTTAAAAACATCTCGGTATCATGCATTTGATTTAGTATAGGACAAGAAAGGGAAATGTTTATGTAATGCATCATGGATTATACCTTTCTCTTCCGGAAACTTGAAAATTTTGATAATACAGTCCTGTGAAAGATGATTATCAATCTTTTCGATTTGTGAGGATTCGGGAGTTTCAGACTTTATCCAGGGATTGAGTTCAGTCTCTTCTGTATATGCTCTATATAAGCTTAAACGAATTTTATCTGTCAAATGACTCAGTGAATCAACCAATTTAGCGTGCCAGTTTAAATATTCAGGAGTTAAGGCTTTATCCATGTTATTCTTTATATGATCGCAAATTCAAATTGAGTATGAATTATGTCTTGTCTCGCTTATATAACAAGGATGCTTACGCGCTGAAACTCTATGCATATCTTGAAATAGTAATAAAAAAATATATATAGTATTGCAAAGCAATGACTCTTCGGGTCTAATTAATTTGAAATCAGAGAATTTGTCGAAGGCAGTATAACTTTATATTTTATGCTATTATCTCGATTTCACGCTTTCCGCATATAATAAAATAGGTTCCAACTTCATATTTACCTTTTACACTCTTCCCATCTTCATGATATAATTTACATACTGGGCATAATGATCCCTCAATAATATCATAGTAATCAAATTTTTCAGTAATAAATATTTTATATAGATTAGAATATCGCAACAATATCTTATTACGAAAGTAAGCATGATCATGAATCTTATTTTCTGGCAATATATTATTAGGTGAAATACTTACCTCAGTCATATGAGTGCGTGACTTTTGGTCACGCAGTATAGCAATGAAATGCTTTTTAATTGTATCGATTTGCACGTCAGTTAACTTCGAGAGTTTATTTGCACTATAAGTTTTAATTCACTTAATTTTATCTTCTTCAATTGTGCTAAATAATTTGTATATAGATTTAGTTCTTTGAGTTCTTTTACGTAAACTTACACAAAAAATACCTGAAAGATACTGTAGCATTTTATCATAAACCTGCTCACTTGCTAAATCATAGGCTCTCTTATCATTTTTTTGATTTTCGGATAAGATATCATCAAGTCTTTTTTTGAAATGCTTTCTATATTGGTACCAGCTCGTAATTTCTTCCATCTTGGCTCGTTTAGTATTATTTTCTGCCAAGCTTATTTTTTCAAATAAATGGACCAATTCGATTGCGAGTGATAGTCTATCTGTAGAATTTTTATTTACATTAACAACTTTAACAGTATCTTCCGCTAAAGGTTCTATTCTTAATTCTTCTATCAAAGGTTGTATGTCTATTTCAGGGATTTTTGTTTTCTGTAAGTCCGTATTTTGTTCTGAGAATTCTTCAGGTAAATTAAAAGTGTTAGGAATAGATTGCAATTCCGAAATTTGTTTGACGTGTAATTCATCATGAGATTTTGGCGAGCTATCCGAATATGAGTTTTGGGCTTGAGAAGCAGAAGCTTCATTACTCTGTAATAGCTTCTTTTCCTGATTCCTTTCTCTTATTTCGTTACGAATCTGTTTATTATGTTTTTCATTCAGAAAATTATCAATTCTTTTATCTTCAGATGATTTAGACTTTACACATATAGGTGGTATAGTCAAAGATGAATCGGAGACTTGAGACTGATATTTGTCAGAATTTGAAACATTATTGAATACATCAGATGTCGGAGCATTCTTATTTTGCAAGACCGCCTGTTCAGAGGTGTCATCAGAATTTAAAGTGTCATCAGTTATATCAGATACCGGGGTATCAGTGGCATAGCCACGAGTCTCTGACTCACCACATTGTGACACTATCTGTTTGAGAGTATCGTTAGATTTTACTGGAGAGTGCGAAACATCTTCCGTAGAAATACTTTTTTCTTCTTTTCCCTGTTCTAATATAGCGAGCCTAGTCTCAAGCTTTATATTCTTTTGCTCTAATTCCTCGACTCTAATATCGCGCTTTTCATTCTCCTCAATAATCTGCTTCAGCTTCGCATTCTCCTTTCTAAGCTCAGCAATCTCAGCTATAAGTTTGGAATTCTGTTCTTCTAATGTATCAACTTTGGATTGCGTGTTTGCCATTTTTTATACAAAATACAGATATGTTCAAAAGTTTGAATAAATAGAAATAATGAGTGCGTGACCAAAAGTCACGTCATTTGCTTTTGCCAAGAAAATTCTCGATCATATATAGTAAATTCGATCAAGTAACATGATCAAAAAAATTATTAGTTATACATTACACGAAAAATAGCACATGATACATTGTACGTTCCTCTAACCAAAAACTTTATTAATAAAATATATATATATGATAAAAATACAGGATAAAATATATGATATACGAAGAAAAATCTATTGATAATCATGTTTCGGTGTAGTGACAGTGGAACTTGGAGAAGTATTTTGGGGTGGATGTGAAACAGCTTGCTCCATTGCTTGTTTAAGCAAATTCTTATTCACAATTATAATATTTCTCAAGGTTAGTAGCAATCTTATTAAGGCTCTTGTACGTTATCTTACCTCCGAAGTTAATGGAATTTCTGCATGATCTAGATGGAAGTATCTTGGTATCCCACTTGCGTCGTTAACAAGGATATTTAAATATATTTTTTCACCGGCTACTTGAATCCCGACCACATCAAATTGGTTGCAAATAGGTCTACATGCAGAACTTATATAGCTACTTCCATCCAATAATTCTCGCCATAATTTTATCTCATCATCTGCTTTTTTAGTGGGACTGCAGACAATGCGAGAACTTTTTACATATAAAAATTCCACCAGCTTTTCATTGAATTTTTCTAGAGCCATAATATTAGGCTTTTTTCCCATTTTTGCCTTACCTGTACCACCATTTCTACGTGCCTTACTTGCTAAGCTTTGACGTTCAGCTGTGCTCAAACAAATATATTCATTTGGCAAGTCACTTAAACTAGCTCGAAGTAATGGCATAATCACATCTGTAATATAAGTCATTGTAAACTTTAAGACAATAATTCATTTTTTTAATTTCTTCTTTTTCTTTATAATATACATCCAGGATTTTTTCACAAGTGTCATAATCACTTTCATTGTTTTCTTTGACCAATTGTTGGATTATTTGTTGAATTGACTGATATATTTCTTCAAAGATTTGAGAAATATTTCCAATATTAATTGGCGATAATAATTGTATATCATTTTGGAATGTTTCCAATATTTGTTGAGCTTTATTGAATGAATTTTGATGATGGTTATATTGTAATTCACTTGTTAAATCATTGATCTGATTGATTATTCTTTCCAGATCATTAATATTTAATTTTTGCTTGTCTTTATCAATAGAAAATTGTTTTGACTGTACACAGTCAGAGAAAAATTTACTATCACATGGAATTAAATATTTTTTACAAAGCTTGATATTAATATGTTCCAAACAAGCTAGTTGCAGTCTTCTTTCTGATATAATTTCTTGGTATATTGCTATTGCTTGGAAGATTTCAGCAGCAAAAAAAATCTCTTTCCCATACATCAATTTTTAAATAATTGCTGCGCCACAAAAAAGAGAAAAAATATTTTTCCTGCTCTTTCAAATTATTTTTCTTTATATAAAAACATATCAAAACTCTTCAAACTGTCCAAGGAACATACTGATCAAAATAAATCTGATCAAAAGAACCCTCTTTTGGTTAAAATAGACCAAAAAATACAAAAAATATTAAATAAAAATATCCAACAAAAAATAATAGAAGAAAAAGATAATAAAATTGTGGCTATTATAAATCATATCAACAATAACAAGAAAAGCACCTCTTCTTATAGTGGAAACACAGAAAAAAACCATCCAAAAATACCTGAAAACACAACAGAAAAAATTTTTTAACAAAGAATAAAACTCCTTCGAACACCACCAACTTCATCAAAAAATCTCTCACTAAGAATAAAACTTATAATAACTAATAATATAGACACAGAAAATAACAAAAACCAAAAAACAACAAAAATTATTCAGCTAGATAATCTCACCCAACCATCTCTCTTTACTTTGATCTTTTTATCTTTTGACAACATGGTTAAAGGAAAAAAACAAACAAATAAAACTAACAACAATAACAAATACATATAATATTTTCAACAATAACAACAACAACACGTCTAACAACAACATCAAAACCAACAACAACACATTCAACAACAACAAAAACAACATGAACAAGAACAACAACAACAATACATACAACAAAAACAACACGGTCAAAAATAACAAAACAAACACATCTGAACAAAAGATGAATTTGATGACCAAAGCGAAGTAATGTCTGAAACCAGTGTTAATCTCATCTCAGATCACAATAATGAAATTGATAATCAAGAATAGAATATGATTAGCAGTGCAAAAAAATATTCACTTACAGTTACATGTAATCAAATTTCACCAAAAAAACCTCAAGAAAAAAAGCATGAATCTATAAAAATCTTTGCAACCAATCAGATTATATCAGAATTCAACAACCCAATCACAAATATTATAACTAATACAAAGTTAAATTCAACAGTGAATCCAATCATATCAAAGCAATCCAATATTTAAAAGATACACTCAAAATTCAAGCACAATCAAATAATTCAGCCCAACCAGTAACAACCAAAACTTTCTCTTTTGACATCATTATTCATGATGTTTCTCTTGGTATCACTATTGCTAATGTTAATAATGCAATATCTATCATTGAAAAAGTTAAATCAGTACTAGTACGTGAAAAAGCTGAATGGCAAATAACTCACATTAACTTCGAAACAACTTGATCTTCAAGATATCTGGGCAATCCCAATTAAAAAAGATAGTTATAGAGTTTATTCAAAGAATAATTTTCTTGAAACAAAAGAAAGACGTAACCAATTCATTGTTAAATTAACAAATCTTTCACCAGGATGCACAGCATATAAACTTGATAAACTGCTCAACGAGACTAAAATAAAGACATGCTTCATCACACATACCAGAAACAAATACAATTGAATAAGTATCACATTTATCTCCTTTGACTTTGGTGAAGACGAAGAATCTGCAAAGTTTACAAAATACAAATTACATAATCACAATCTAATTTGGATGACTCTAAATCACAAAATCTGCACATACTGTCACCAAGCAGATCATCTCATTGCAAATTATCAAGAAAAGAATAAATTATCAAACAAGTAGATTAGATGGAATGCAACACAACCCATCTCCTTTAAAAGCTTTTCCCGTCCTCAAAAAATCAAATTCCAAAATAGTGACAAATTTATCTTCAAAAATTGATCATTTGCAAATGTTATCAAAACTGGTTCAAACCAAAAACCAAATCATGAAAAACAGATAACAGAAAAAATCAGTCATCAACAAAATGAATGGAATAAATTAATCGAAAAAATGAACAGAATAAAAGACAATTTAGACAACGCAATGAAAATGATCAAATACTTAGCAGAAAAATCAAATATATAACTTGAAACTCCAATATTAAAAAAACAAATTCAACAATAATATCAACAAACCAATAATGATAATGGACATATACAAGAATTTAATATTTTCAATAATCACATCAATATAACACTTGAACAATTTACTCATCTTAAAGAATCAATTAATAATCTTGCTAAAGCTATTCAAATCTCAACATTATAATCAATGAAAACAGAATTTACTTCATCCAATAATAATAATACAATTAACTGATAATAAAAGCAATTTGCATTCACAACAAACTAACATTTCTACATTGGACAACAATATTCAAGACACAATATCAAACAATAATAATACCAACAAAACTTACTGGCATCTAGGAACACTTAATGTCAAAGGAATTAATAAACCAAGCAAAGTTTAACTACTCAATAATTGAATCTATGAAAATAACTTAGACTTTACTATGCTCACAGAGACAAAACTCAATAAATACAACAACCCTAAATTCAATCTTAAAAACAAAGAACTCAATGCATTTTACAGCTCATCCAATAATCATACACATGATCAAGGAGTTACAATTATTATCAAATCATATTGGTGCAGTTACATTCAAGAAATAAACAAAATTGAAGGCAGAATTATACATATCACATTCAAATTCAAAGAGAAAATTATCATCAACCTTATAGGTATTTACGCATCTGCTTCTAAAACTTTAGAGTTCTCTTCTATAACAAAATCAATTAACAAATTTATTTCAAATATAATTACCAAAAATGAACAAACTATCATAATGGAAGACTTCAATGAGGATTATACATTATACCAAAACAACACAAGCAAATTTCCAATTATACGCAACATGCTCACATATGAACTTATAAATACACATTCAAATATAAAAAATCACTAACCAACATGGTACTCACATAATTCACAATGCATACTTGACTATATATTCACAGACACAACTACTGTAATATATACAAACAATTACTTATTAATAGATCTTTCTGAAGATTCATTCTCAGACCATCTATCAATAGGTATTACAATTAATGTCTCCTTCATTCAAAATTATTCTCATAACAAGTATCATATCAAAAGAAGAAGACAGATATTCAATCTTGATCAGACTTTAAAAGCAAAACAGATCAAATACTTTACCAAAAACTTGATATAAAATACATCTCAGGATACAATATAGATGCACTCTGGAATATCCTAAAAATAACAATTACAACTGCTGCTAAAAAAATACCAAAAAAACACATCAATCATGATTTAGTCTATTCCAAAAAAGAATTCAATCTATTCAAGGCAAGAAAATACACACATCATATTATCAAACTCATAAATAATGAAATCATCCAAATTATCCAACTGAAAATTACCCAAATCAACAACATCATCAACAAATAGCAACAAGTTTTCCCCAAGGATGTCACTCTTTAACCAACTCTCAAACCTTCATGAATGATATAATTATGTCAAAGACTGATACAATACATACAAAACTTCACACAAACACCAAATACAAATGGAAAATTCTAAAAAATAATAGAAGTCATTACCAAACGGAAACAGAACTTTGCAACAGGAAAAGACAAAATGATGAAAAAGCATTTTGGAATGCAACAAAGAAAAAATTACACTTGATTACGTTATTCATAAAGGAGAATACTATGACGAACCAGAGAATATTAAAACAATAGTTAATGAATACACCAAACAAAGAACACAATATAGAAATATCAGTAATACTATCTCTGATACTTGGAAACACTGATACAAATTCATTTCACACATTAAAGATAACACATTCACATCAGTCATGTCACCAATAAATGAACAAGAATTCATGAATGCACTTAAAAATGCTTTACTAAACAAAGCACCTGGACCCTCTGGTATTCCCACAGAATTCTGGAAACATTCAGGCAATGATACCAAAACAACACTGAGAAAACTCCTAAACAAATGCTTACTCGAAAAAAACATCCCAACAGAATAGAAAGATATATCTATTATTCTCATCTCAAAACCCAAAGCCTGGAAAGGCAATGTCAATATCACCAGACCAATTACTCTTATAGATACTGCCAGAAAAATTCTGACCAGAATTCTTTCAGATCAAATATCAATACTTTGCCTAAAATACAATATCCTACATGGCAACAATATCTCAGTTTTAAAAAATACTATGCAAGAGAGTTCAACAATGAATTATGACTAATCTTCCAAGACATGCGTAATGCATATCCTTCTGTTGGCTGGTCTCCACTTGAAATGGCACTAAAATGAATCAAAATGCATGAAGAATTCATTCAACTTCTAAATAATATTCACAACAATAAACAATATAATATCATAACTGAATTTGGCCCAAGTCCACTATACAAAGTTGGTGATGGTCTTGACCAAGGAGAAACTTTCTCTTCCATATTGTAGAGCATATTTTACGATCCACTACTGTATGAAATTCAAGAATCTCACAAAAATAATGGCTATATAATCAATCACAAATATAATCCAA